CTGCAAGGGGAGCGGGCGATGGGGAGGACGGCGGGTGTCTCGGCAGGGAAGGAGAGCGGCGTAGGCCCCGGTGTCCCTGTCCGGTGTGCGCTGGGGGCTGAGGGGCGACGGGGGAACTCCACACAGGGAAGGAGCCTGCATTCGCCTTCGGCCGCCCAGGACATGGAATTCACAAAGCCCTGATTTATCACTGAGGTGACTTGTCCCGCGCAGCCCTAGGCGAGTTGCTAAGCTGCCCGCCCTGACCGCGCTCCCCGGCCGGGTCTCCTGGCAGTTCCCGGCAAAGGCACTGCTTTGTCTTTTTTCCTTAAATGAGCGAGTTCCCAGCCTCTCCAAGCTTGACAAGGCAACCACACCAGGCATTCCAGACCCAGACGGGGCCTCCCTGGGGTCCTCATGACCAAAGAACAAAAAAAGGCCCAAGATGACCCAAGGGACCCCTCTGGGGTGCCCACCCCCGGAAGCGGAGAGGTGAGGTTACCAGGGCCGCTCAGGAGCCCGGGGCCAGGCGGGGTGCCTCTGCTGCTTGGAAACAGAGGAACCCACCAGGATGCTCTGCAATTGCTAGAGGAAGGGGAAGGGGGGCTGGAGAAAACCCCATCCCACAACACAATTGGACGGGGCTCTGCCTCCCACGCAAGACAGACCCCAACCCCATCTCCCGTGCCCTCTGGGGGCAGCCCTGCCAGGGCAGCGGGAAAGGGCTGGGAGGCAGGCGCAGATCCCAGCCAGGCAGCCCTGGGGTCCCACTGGGCTCATGGACCCAGCCAGGTCTGAAAGGCCATGAGCGCTGAGGGCTGGGGTGGGGACCGGCCCAGTGGTGGGAGTTAACGACCCTAGGTGGGCAGAGGAGGCTCCACTCCTCATCCTGGCCTAGCCTGGCCCCTCCTTACACCTCCAGTGCTGCCTGGTGAGCACCAGCCTGCTGGCACCGGCATTATTTCAGAGATAGCGAGGCTCCACCTCCACGTGTTGCCACCTAATTTCATTGCATGCCTGCCAGGCCCTCCACTGGTCCCCTCGCGGCCCCCAGGCTCACCCACCCCAGCCACTCTGCCCCCACTTTACATGGCTCACCTCCTCCACTCGGTCTCAGCTTGAGGGACGCCTCCCTAGCTACCCTGTCTGGTGCAACCACCACACTCCCGCCCAGGACAGCTGCCCCTCTTGGCACCGGCCCCCTGCTGAAGGCATTGGTGGACGTGTCTGATGTCTGCCTCCTCCCGGGCTTGCTCAGGACATGGATGGATGCAGCACCCTGTGCTTTGGGCACCTCGAGGACTGAATTCATGCTGGGTAAATGAATGCGCGTGACAGCTGCAGGCCTCAGAGCGATTTTCAGAGCACAGGTGCAGGTTGGAGAGGGAGGACCGCGCACCCCAGTTCCCACCGGATGGAGCAGGTACTGTGGAGGTGCCTCCAGGAACCCTGAGCCTTAGGACATGCTGGATGTGTGGGGCCTGGTGCCATGGCATTTCCAGTTGAGCCTGAGGTCTTCGTGTTTAGACCAAACTCAGCCCCACCCCATCTCCTGAGCTGGAGGGTGTCCAAGTAGAGCCCGGGCAGCTTCTGGGGGTTCCAGCTCCAGGTGGGGTGCCCAGGTGCCCCCTCCTCCTGGGCTATGGTGGCCTCTTGCCCACTTGCCAACGCCTACGGGTCCACGTGAAGTGGAGAATCAAGCTCTGGGGAGATGGCGCCGCTTCTCCCTGTGCCGAGTGGCCCAGGACAGGGATGGATACTTGGAGGCTGGGGTGGGGCCACAGTGGGTGCCCGGGCACCCACTCTCCCTGGAAGATATGGGTCAGGCTGTGGAATCTGGAACACCCACGGGTTGAGGAGGCCCTGAAGGGGGGCTAAGAGGGCAGGGGCTGGGAGTGGGCAGGGGCACCAAGACTGCCCACCCTCCCTGGCAGGGAGCAGCTCCACCCGCAGGCAGGGCTGGGAGGACCTGGATGGCAGGGGTGGGAGTGACCAGAGGCAGCTGATGGTGTTGGGAGGGGGCCCTGCCCTGCCTGGAACCAGATGGAGGGCTCCGAGGACCCCATAGTACCGCCAAGAGACAAGGTCCAGCCCTCCCAGGAGGGCACGGGGGGCTGCTGGATGCAGACAGGCCAGGATCTGAGCAGTAGAGCTGGGGAGAGGAGGGGCAGCAGGCGCACCCTCACCACAGGCCCCCTCAGCAGGGGCCCCAGTGGGTCCCTCGACACCCAGATGCCATCTGGGGAAGATGAGGGGCCCGTTGCTCATTGGGAGGACACTTTTTCTACTGCAGGGGCCTGGAACGTCTCGGTGGAGGTGCCTTTTTCTGCTAAGCACAGGCCAGCTCTGAGCAGCAGCCAAGGTGTCACGGGGGGCTGCGGTGGGCCTGTGAGGCGTTTGAGCCCTGGTGCGGAGATTTCAGGGGATGCCTTTCCTCAGCCTCAGCCCTGCTGCGGGACATTTTCACGCACACATTGGACCCCAGGAACTGTGTGGGTGCAGCGTCTACACTGGGTCCAGGAACTGCATGGGTGCAGCGTCTACACTGGGTCCAGGAAC